GATTTTTTACTGAAAATTAAGTTGTATTCATAGCCGAAGAGTAGATTGGCATGAACTGGGATGTATAAAATTAGTGCTGTCAAATCGATTAATCGCAATTAATCGCATCTAAAAAACATTTTGTTTATACACACACATGTGTGTGTGCTGTGTATAATTATTTTGTATATATAAATATACATATATATATATATATATATAAGAAAATGTGTAATTCATAAATAAAATAATTATATTAATATATAATAGATTAGAAAATCTAATAGATAATGAATTTATATATATATATTTATACAGTATTTGTGTGCAAATAATTAAATATATACATGCATGCATGTGTATTTATTTTTACAAAATTATACACAGCACACACACATATATTATGTAAACAAACTTTTATTTTGGATGCGATAAATCGCTTATGTTAGATACAATAAATTGAGATAAATCCATTTGACAGCACTAAATATTACACTAAACAGCCTATGTAATGTCTTGTATGTCATTGACGTAAACATTTTTTTAACCGGTTCTTTGAAACAGACCGTTTGAAATATCCGATTTAGGGCCAACATTTCTCATTATTGGCTTTGATGTCTTTGCAATAGTATATCAGAGTATGATTTACCATAAATCTTTACAGTACTCCATTTACCATGGTCAAAATACACAAAACCAGGATTGTTCCCCTACCTCCAATTATTTAAATTAATAAATCATTAGAAATGCAAAATAGATGTCTGAACAAGAAATGTCCCTGGTTTTCATTTCAGAAATCTGGTCACCTTAGAGTGTGAGAGTTTTAAAGTCCAATTCAATTGTATTGCTGCACTGAAAGGGAAAAATGGGTCAATATCCAACCGTATAGTTTCATTAGCTACTGAAAACAGGTCTTATGTTTACGCCTCTGAGCTCAGGGTCTCCAACATCCCATTTCTTAATCTGTCTCTCCTCTCTTTTGGTCTCGATATGACCTCCCTTTCTCTCTCTAGCAACAGCTGTTGTTGTGTAGCTCTTCCTCAAACCCCCTGCGGGCAAGAGAAGTGAATGCAACAAACTCAACCCACACCACAAGGCCGGGCGCCCAGGTCCGCTGTGGTGCTGTCTGACCGACACATCAATGTGATTACAGGCAGCATACATCAGTGAGGTTCTCCCCAACAAAACCCAGCCACTTACCCTCACACATTCACCTCACATTCTTCTTTCGCCCCGGGCGTTCCTCAGCCCTTCGCTGAATAAGATGAGCTCATCAATTAAATGCAACAGAGATATTGATTCAAGTGAATGGTGTTATAACCGTGGAGACGCCCGAGGACATCATATTATGCCGATGCGTTCATTAATATTAGCTGTAGAACACAGACAGCAGGTTCTCCGGTGGAGTGTTCAGAAATTCAGCATGGATCTGTTGGTCTGATACTGCTGACGAATACACTTGCAGCTCAGTTGCGCAAACTGTGAAAATTTTGCTATTCAGGGATTCATATTAATTAGACATCATTTGGCTAGATCTGAAATTCAGGATTGTTTTGAACAATTACTCTCTGATTGGCGTATTTGGCAGGTTTCATGAATAAAAGAACCATGCATGTCATCCAGGCTCTGTGCGCATGCGCAAAACACAACACTTCTCTGACAACTCTGAAGTATTTTACGGTTTAGCGAATTTGTGACTCAATGGTTAGGTTTAGGGGTGGACCTTCATGCTTATGATTTTTATAAAAATCAGAACTTTTCAAACACGTCGTATAAATTTATATCAAATCACTTCGTAAAACGAAGGAGTAGTTCACTTTTGAAAACACTTTTGCTGATAATTTACTCACCCCCATGTCATCCAAAATGTCCATGTCTTTCCTTCTTCAGTCGAAAAGAAATTAAGGTTTTTGATGAAAACATTCCAGCATTTTTCTCCATATAATGCACTTTACTGTTAACCAAACGGTTCAAACTGCAAACTGTTCAAAGGGCTTTAAACGATTCCAGACGACGAATAAGGGTCTTATCAAGCGAAACGATCGCTCATTTAATAAATAAATAACAAAGTTTATGTTTTATAAGCTCGCCTTGCTCTGTTCTGTGAATCTCCTACTTGAACTCGTTCATCAAAATGAACAAATCTTTTTCCGAGTCATTTGATTCATTCAACGATCGAAACGAACGAATTGACTCGGAAAAAGATTCGTTCATTGTGATGAACGAGTTCAAACAGGAGAGTCACGAATGTACACGCATTTGAGCTTATATAACTTAAACTTTTTATTATCTTTTTAAATGAGCGATCGTTTCGCTTGATAAGACCCTTATTCATCGTCTGAAATCGTTTAAAGCTCTTTGCAGTTTGTACTAAAGTGTCAAAATCGTTAGAAAAAGAATGTTGTTCATTGAAAATATGATTCTCAAGTCATTTCACAAACAGTTGCTGCCACATTAAAATATATTTGCCACTCCTATCATTGCTCTGCAGTACTTGCCAGCTTAGGCCTAGTATTAAGGTAACAGGTTTCTGCCTGAAAAGGGCACATTTACTTCGGTACATCCTGATAAGTATATTCTGCTGACATTGTAATGTTACTGACAAACAAGCACATTTTCTCAGACAAGTGTGCCTGCTTAAACTATTGGTGGATCATTTTGTGGCTTGATCATTTCTGAATGATCGTTTTTTGATAGCGTTGCAGATTTAAATGTAAATGTTTCTAATGTTCACATCACTTCAAAAGAGTAATAGCTCTGACAGCCTCCCCATATTGCTAGTAATAATGATATCTCCTTTGGGTTCCTAAATATTAAAAAGATTAAATGACAGGTGGTGGGAGACGTGCTCTACTTCAACATGGTATAACAAGGGGTGACTGTGAAAATACTATTACAAATATATATTTTAATATACTATATAAAAATATATACTTTAATAAACATCTTTACAATAAGGTGCATAATTATGAATATGTGATCAATGGGAATTTTTTGAGACAGGCATCTTCAGGGCCCTAGATAAATGTGAATTATAAACGACCTGAGTTTTGTAGTGTGCTGTTGTCACCTGGTGGCTGAAAAGGAAACTACAGTATTATTTTGAGCGCTATACAGTGATCATACATATTTAATGGTATTAAGCTAATTGCACCCACGTCAAATAACATGGCTAGTCACAAATTTTAATGTAATAGGCAGAACCATGGGGAAACAATGGAAATTAGGATAACTTTATGTTTAAAATAAAGACACTTTATTAAGCGATTCACTTTGAGCAATTTTGGCCCTGTGGGGTTTCAGAAAAAAACAACAACATATAAAACACACATTCTCACAATTCGTCAACATTTCATAAGCATGATATTCCTCAAGTCATGAACACTTCCGCAACCATCTCACGTTATGCATTGTGTGTGCATGTTTATTTTGTATGTTAAACAAACATTTGTGGAATAAAAATGACCTGCTTGTGTAGGCTAACCCTAAATACACACGCTTGAATACTTTAATGTTTTGGATATTTTTGACAAACCTACTTGTAAACGAAACAATAAAAATATACAGGTCATGAGTTTTTATTTGTCCCTTGATTTTCATGTTTTCTTCCACCACCAACGCCTCTGCAACATAGGCCTAACTAAGCCCTACGAAGTAGTGCATTTTTTGCTTTTTGTTCAAGATTGTCTTAAAATGTGTTTTTTTTTTTTTTTTTTTTTTTTTTTTTGATGCAGAGGTAACAAAATCCATGTATAATACGAGAATGTATTTGTTTATAAAATAAGGAATACATGCAGTCCGCAGTTTTTCCTTTTTGTCGCGGATGAACACAATGTTTGAGGAGAATGTGAGGCGGTCCGTCACCGCACGTGTCGATACTGGCATTCAGAATCACAGATTATTATTTTTGGAAGTATGACCAATAATTTTCATCGGAAAATATCATCTGAACAAGTAAGTAACATCTACTTTTGTTTTTGGTTCTGACATTGCAGTAAATGCCGCGGATTAAATATACAAATCGCGTATCATATCATGCAAAACCGTGCAAATGATCATTTTCTTCTCAAATTGTTAATGTTAACAACGTACGCAAGCATTGCGTGACAACATCTAATGTCTTTCCGATATTATCTTTGTTTTCACATGGGTCCAGTTGTAGTCTCTTTTTTCTGTAACTTAGCCTACGAAATCCAATCAGAAAAAGTAATTAGCATTTTACAGCGGGTGAATCTGTCGTCACTGGTGATTGTCGTTGCTACCTGGATCCGCCATCAAATTGAGTTTAATTAACGTTATATCAAGTGATCATCACATGGAACAATAAGGAGACAGCATTTATTTTACAACTGATTCGAAAACAATCTTGTATTAGTTAGCTTTTAACTCACAGGGCAGATTTTATATCCTATTTAGATTCCGAGGGAAGACGATGTGGTAGATCTGCGGTATGCGGTAATATGCGGTAGATCGACAACAAAAAAAATAAGTGTAAAATCAGAGCTCTCTGCCAGAGAGAGGTCAAGTTATAACAATCCCTTGCAAAATGCATCCTTGTAACGTTAGGCCCTATCTCTAAATTCGTCGCGGTTCCTATCTCCATAAATATCTAATGAATTTGAACTGTAAGGAACAGCAACTATTATGCTTCGCTTCGTACTGTTTTAATTACACTTTTTATTAAATGAAATATGTAATATGTTTTATATATTTGGATTTGTTCCCAATAAGAAGTTGGTGGCCTGGAGGGCTGGGTGGGTAACGTTAGGGCGAGTTGGGATGAGGTAGAGCTTTGCTCCCGAGTGCCCCTTCGAAAACGAGATGTTTCATCTCAAGGGGTTATCCTCAACAATAAAATTCAATTCAATAATAAATAATTGGAGGATGCGGGCATCGATCCCGCTACCTCTCGCATGCTAAGCGAGCGCTCTACCATCTGAGCTAATCCCCCTGATAACCAGTGGTTACTGGTTAGACGGAATGATATCTGTGTGACACCTGATAGCGCTCACGGGTGTTACATTCAATAGTACCGGCGGAAGTGAGTAGAACGAGCGCGCGGCCTGTTTCGCAAAGGCGAAAATGTCGAGCGGGGTGGGAAGTAAGTGTTATTTATTTCATAAATAGATTAACATTACAGTCTGAAACCAAAAGCACTTTGTAAATTGAATTCTGAAGTATTTGGTAATACGTGCAAAGAGCATCTAAAGCTTATAATAACGCCGGCGTGAGCAATATTGTTGCGCTAGTTGGATTCATGATAACAAAGACGATAAGGTTTTATGTTTACATTTTCAACACACTTCTCTCTATTTTTGAACAAAATGTACTATTTTACCTGCTCTATATGTAATAAACGGTTTGTGTCGTTTTAAATAAGTCGCAATATAACATGAGTGATTAGCCTTTTATATTGTAAACAAAAAATTTCCCTACACTTTTGTTATAAATTGATCTACAGCTAAATAAAACTCATCATTTGAACCCCTAACTGTCCCTGTAGAACACAAGATGCTGTCGCTGGGTCCGACGGAACCCTGGTCTATTCGGGAGAAACTCTGTCTCGCCTCCTCAGTGATGAGAAGCGGAGATCAGAACTGGTAAGAATAAATGAAGAGTTCAGATGCAGAAGCCTCTAAGTGCCATTTGAAATGTTCTTCTAAAATTATAATTTTTATCAAGCTTGTATATTTAATTTCAGTAATTTCACTTAAATGGCAATGAAGATTACCCATTAATTGTCATTTAACTGAAATGGCAATGAAGATTACCTATTAATTGTCATTTAAGTGAAATTACTGAAATTAAATACACAAGCTTGATAAAAATGGTCATTCTAGAACAAAATTTCAAATGGCACTTAGAGGCTTTTGCATCTGAACTCTTCAAATAATCATCACACATGATCATAGAACTGTAACGTTAGAATTGAAGCGTCTTAACTGCGGCTGGTCACCCTTAACTAAACGTGGGGCTTTTAGTTTTAGAAATGATTGTGGGGCAGTTATGTTAATTTTTATGATTAAGGCATAGACATGTTTCATCTCAAGGGGTTATCCTCAACAATAAAATTCAATTCAATTTAAAAAATAAATAATTGGAGGATGCGGGCATCGATCCCGCTACCTCTCGCATGCTAAGCGAGCGCTCTACCATCTGAGCTAATCCCCCACGGACGGATATGGGGGTGACACCTTGGTTGAGCGCGGGGTGGTGGAGGGAGGGAGGCACCCAAAATAATCTCATTCTTAATCGCAATAATCTCATTCTTAATCAAAATAATCTCATTCTCAATCAAAATAATCTCTGTCTCATTATTTTGGGTGCCTCCCCAGATCCCGCGGTCAAACCAGGTGTCACCTCCATTTCCCTCCGTGGGGGATTAGCTCAGATGGTAGAGCGCTCGCTTAGCATGCGAGAGGTAGTGGGATCGATGCCCGCATCCTCCAATCTGTTATATTATATATCTATATCTACATATTTATAAATACGTTTAACAAAAGCATTGTAGCTTATTGCACATTTTAATATTACTTCTCTTTTATTATTTTGGGTTAAATTGTGTTTATTTTGCATCATGATTAGCTTATAAAATCTCAAACACATTTTCATTGTAAAGGGTTTTATTAATATGATTATTGCAATAGTTGTATTTCTAATAATAAAGTGCCTATATATTATAATTTCTGATTGAATTGATAATGTTTTAATAATTAATAATTTTCTCTACTGCAATTTCTAATATTACTTTTTTTTTCTTAACAGATAATTTTGTAGTTTATGTTGCATCAAATTGAAAGGATTTGTTACGTTTTTTTTAAGTAACACATTACATTTTGTGTATTTGTGGTTCAAGTGCCTCAAAAGTCCTAGTATAGGGTCTTGGTCCTCTCTGATGAACACGTTTCTGGCTCAAAATGACCCGAGGGAAGGATGAGGATAATGTTTTACCGTTAAATGTGTCCGATACACTGTTATATTTTTGTCAGGGTGTCTGTAAGCAGAGCCATCAAGCCCTTCTCAGAGACTGGACGACCCCCTGACTGGTTCTCCCAGAAGGTAATTCATATTATTGATTATATCAGTTTTAGTGATCTGCTAATATATAATAATAATAATATGACCTCTACAGCATTGTGCCTCCCAATATTCTGAGCTGCTGGAAACCACAGAGGCCCCAAAGTAAGTGATTCTCTCTCTCTTTCTTTAAACACCTGCGCTGAGCATCTGTACTAAATCTTACCATTGTTCTTGCAAAACCCAAGAGTTAAAGTCCTCAAATCATCTGGACTGTGTGTGTACACAATGAAAAAGAATAATCAGCAAATAATATGTACTTTATTTTTGTGCATGGAAAGCAGTAAATACATGGAGAATGACTTTTCAGACTATTATTTTAGCCAGTATTATTGGCAACCAAAACCATCTAATTCATAAGTTAATTGGCAAGTTTGTCATGTGCTCTCCCTGCAGACGTAAGCGGGGTGAGAAAGGGGAGGTGGTCGAGACCATTGAGGACGTGATCGTCCGTAGATTGACGGCAGAAAGAATCGAGGAACTCAAGAGGCTGATTAAAGACACACAGGAGAAGTACAGGTACGTCTCCACCTCCTTCTCCCCTCTCACTGTCTAAATCTGCCACTCACGAGTGATAAATGTATTCTGTACCTTCAGGAAACTGAAGAAAGAGGTGGATTTAATCCAGGCAGGTCATATGGACACTAAACTGGAGGAGCTGTGGGCAGAGATAGAGCTGTAAGACACATTTGTGCTGTCATTTCATCCTCTTTATGTTAAGAATTAACCTTTCATTTCCTGAAATATCATCCAGTTTGATCTAGTTTCAACCACTCTTGTTGAAATGTAATTTAATAAATAGATATCAGAGATGTTCAGAAATAATCAGAGCCCTATGATTGTGTAAAGATTATGTTTATGAAACGAATGTACTATATTTCATTTTAACAATATTTTTCAATGCTATTGTGAGTTTTTTTCATGGAATTGAACAATATTCACCTCTAAATTATGCACCATTTATCTACATATATTAAGATAACATTTTTTATTAGGTTATATATATTATACATTAATATATTTATTTATTTATTTGGAAATTGTCTTTTGACTACTTTTTGTCAAAGTTTAGATTTTGTTTTGTTTAAAATGTTGATTTGAAGTTATGTTGGTTTAATGCTGTCAAATCGATTAATTGCAAATCTAATATAAATGATTTTTTTTTTAAATAATATGTGTGTACAAATATTAATAAATATATATATACACACACACACATATATATATATATATATATATATATATATATATACACACACACACACACATAAATATACATACATACACGTTTACTCACACACATACTTTAGGACGTTAGATATTAATAGAGTTGACAACACAAAGAGAAAGCATTTTGTTACCCATAATCTAATTCAAACATCAAAATTTAATACATATGTGTTTGTGTTCTCATGTTTGTCAGAAAAAAGAAGCAGGAAGATGAGGAGGCGGAGCAGAAGAAGAGGGCAACTGAGGCGGCCTATCAGGGTGAGATTTACATTCACTCAGAAAAGTTATTTTGAATTATATTAGTTTAGCAGTTCAACATTTGTAATGTTTTTTCAAATAATATTAGTTAAACATGGAGCTTATTGCAGATATATTGCGTTTTTAATACTAAGATTATTATTTTTTTATTACTTGGCTTATTGCTGCCTGTGAAATATTGTTTATTTTGCATAATTATTTTTATTTCTCTTTCTCTCCAGTTCGTCAGGCAGCTAAAAACACACCAAAGAGAGTCCCCAGCGTGACGGTGCGTTCTCCACCCGGTGCTAGCTCTCCAGCATGGAAGTCCTCAGCCAGACACATCGCAGCCAATGATGGAGGAATCCTGTGTTGGTCCCATGTGAGTTCCTGCTTCTTTTTTTATTAACCTTTTAACTTGAATCTGACTTTAAGATGAACTGAACTGAAATTTTGAAAAAGGTGACATACAGATGTATTTTATTAATTATCATTGGTCAATTTTTAAAATTGCATATTTGTTAAAAGGGATAAAATGGTACATTGAAAGTGTTGTTTTTGTTACACGGGCGCCGCCATGTTGGATTTCAACATTCGACTACGTCACTGGCATGGTAAGCCACTCCGTTGCCTACCCGCACCAGCAGAACAGCCGTAGCTTGTAAACAGTCTGAGGCGCGCTGACATGGCTGAAGAAACAGAATTTTTTAGCGACACACTATCTAGAGATATGTACTTTCGTCAATGAGTACATGAAACGTCTGACAATGTCTGCATTAAATGTTTTATTTACACAAGTTACAAGTTCAACACATCACGTTAACGTTACACGAATCCTTGATATTCGGCTGAGGGGAAAAGATTCCTGATGTATAGTTC